TCCGTCCTCTTCCTCCTCCTCCTTCTCCCCCTCCTCTCCCTCCCGCTCCTCCTCAGCTCCGAGTCCGGCCCGGGCAGCGCCGGCCCCAAAAGCAGGTGGGGTGGGGGCGTGGTTATGCAAATTAGAGCGCGATCGCGCGCTGGGATTGGTGGGAGGGAGGAGCGCGGGATTTTCTCGGTGACGTCATGGCGTGAACGGGGAATCGGGAATGGGAATGGGGACCGGGAACGGAAAAGGGACCCTGTGGTGGTCTCAGGGGTCTCAAGACGAGGCAAGAGATTAAAATTTTGACTCCCTCTTTTTATTTTGAGAAAGCTGATTTATTATTTTATTGTTGATATATGATATTAAAAGATAATGCTATATTAAAATTATACTAAATGAATAGACAAAAGGATTTCATCAGAAAGCTAGAAAATAATGGAAAAGAATGATAACAAAATCTTGTGAGTGACCAGAGAGTCTGAGACAGCTGAGCTTTGATTGTCCATTAATTAAAAACAACCAGATTAGACCATGTAAGGATGAAATTGCTGCAATCCACAGCAGCAGATACTTAGTGTTGACAGTTTAATTTCAGAGGCCTCTCAGCTTCTCAGGAGCATAAGATCCTAAGGAAAGGATTTTTTAAGGAAATATGTCCGTGACACATTTTGTTTAAATGGACCGTGAATACTGGACTGGGACTGTGATCAGCAATCAGAAAATGGGAACGGGACAGGAAACAGAGAAATGGGAATTGGGGACTGTAATAATATTAGTGGAAAAGCACAGAGGATTCGGGAATGGCAACCAGATAGAGAACTCCCTCAGACCCAGCCTCCCCCTCATCCCCTGGAAGACCCCGCCATGTTCCCATGCTTGTTTTAGTTCCATATTTTAATATTAACCCCAGATTTGTGTTTAGAAAGGATAAAGAGAAATAAAAAGAACATCCAGGCCACGGGGATCCAGGAGGATGTGGAGCCCTCAGCCAGGTGTGCTTCAAACATGAATCACCTGGGCTCTGCCCCACCTGGGCACCATCCAGAGCAGATCCTCCCGTGTGCTGGAGCAGAGCACGGAGCTCTTCCCACCTCAGTGCTGGCTCTGCAGGTGTCTGGTCATGTGGGCGTTCGTGCTGAAGCTCTTCCCACACTGGGGACACTGGAACGGCGTCTTCCTGCTGCGGCTGCACCGGTGCGTGACCAGCTTGGACCTTTGCCTGAATCCCCTCCCGCAAGCGTAACAGCGGAACGGCCTCTCCCCGGTGTGCGTCAGCTTGTGGCTGAGGAGGTGCGAGCTGGTCAGGAACCTCTT